AAAAGAAAATTAATTATGTCGCATGGTTATTTGTTTACAATGCCTCGTGTATCGCATGACTGTAACGAGGTTATCAGCTTCTTTTATATTGGTGTTGAATGTGTTTATTCGATGTTTTAAGTCCAATAGTTTTGTATCGAGCTCTACATGGCTAAGTTTTGTTTCGTAAAAATAAGGGGTAGTCGACTGGTTCACTAATTTTAGTTTGATTCGTGACTTACTGCGTCGATAGTTGAATGAGCTCTCGGTTATATATGAATACTAGCTTTATATATAAGGTAAACGACGACAAGGTACATGAGATTTAGTTATATAAACTGTTTTTCTTACTTTATGTATAAAATAGTTTCTGTAAAAATTAGATTTTTACTTTTCAATTTCTGTAATTTCTTTAAAATCAGATTTGTAATTTCTTTTAAAAAATCAGATTTGTAATTTCTGTAGAAATATACATTTCTTTTGTTCTTTGTATTCGGTTATTTATTAGATTCTCCTTTTTTAAAATCTAGTTGATTTTATTATTTTACATCTCTAATGATACCGGGGAATACATTCTAGTAAATACCAGTAAAAAATTAATATCAAATTATCTTTATTAATATTTAATATCATCGACATTTCATTTAATTCCAAATACACTTATATTAACGCTATGTTGGCACAAACATAATTAGTTTAACACCCGTACAATTAACTGAGAAAAAATCGATTTATTTATTTCGCTGCACAAAGAAAATCGAAAGAATTAGCACTCAAATACTATTAAAAAACACAAACAAAGTTCACTATTTGGTTCTTTATATATTGCCCGGTCGCTGTCAATCAATTTGATTTTAAAAGATAAACAACCAATGAGCATTGATTTTATAGTTCATTATTCTCATATATCGCCATAAATGTTTTTTATACCCCAGTTATTAAGCAAATATCAAACACTGTATTAATATTGTCCATTGATCCATGCCATTTGGGTAGAACAATGCTCCTACCGCTTTTCTGTTTTCAACTGATAATTTCAACGATATTTTTTAAAGAATAGAGCACGTGCTGGCTTTGATAGTATCATGACCTTTGTCTGCGGTCTGCCTTTGTCAGACTTTCTGCTCTCTAATGTCTTGTTTAAGAAACATTAAATACAGAAATTGATTTTAAACGAAACTGCAGCATTAGATTAGATTAATAAGAAAATTCAGTAAGTCTGGACAATTTTCGACGTAATTGAGATTCAGATAACCGCAGTTACCTCTATATGTGTGTTTACTGTAATTTATGTTTAGAAAATAGACTAGGGTCAAATACAGAAATACAATTTGCTAGATGTGTGAAATCTCCAAGTCTAAAAATGATATCAGGTGTTCTAAGAAAAGCAGTGCGATGAATATCGGGTATTCAAGAAAGACCAAGCATACTATTCGTCGTACACGACATCCGTCACAATTACTACAGAAATGCTTATAAATGACATTTTTATTTTACTCCCAGAAGTTTCCTTTTTGACTTGAAATGAATGACTACACATTTAGTCTCGCACCAATGTACCCCCCTCCCCATCCCCCCATATGGTCTAGTCTCTTATTCATAATGGTTACTGTTAGCTTGTAAACGCGAGGTATTTTCTGTTGGCGATGCATTCATATTTCCTACCCAACTTTGTGGTCGGAAAATCGGATAAAATAGAATTATAATTTTTCTAGCGACAGCCCCTTAATCCACGACTTTTCCAATAGTTGGCGATGGATTCATATTCCCTACCCAACTTTATGACCGGAAAATGTGATAAATTAAAATTATGATTTTTCTGGCAACAGACCCTTGATTCATATCTTTTCGGTACAATGATTCATCAATCAGAAACAAGAAATAACTTAGGCAAACAGGTAATTAAAATAATATATGGTGTAAAACTGGAAATCTAAAAGTGCAAATTATTATAATAAACCTTTGTTATAATGACAATCAGCGTGTTTAATACAATAACAACACTCTGTAGCACATCGTAAATATAGTTATTACTTGATATTGGGCGCCAGGTGGCGGCATGTTAACATGTTTAAAAGGCGTATTGGTGATTGTTAAAGTGCGAAACATGTACCCAGTTATTGTTTCGTACAAGTAAATCGGTATTGTTAATATATGGGTTTAACGTCCAACTTTTTTTGCTCTGACTGGTCTAATTTAAGTCGGTTTCAATATACATGTATCATTGAAATGTTGGAGGTTAACGTCCCTCTACTTTTCTGCTCCGACTGGGCTAACGAAAACTGTATTAATACCTGAATGAGATGTTTGAGTTTTGAAGTCCTACTTTTCTGCCCCTACTCGGTGTTAATATAAGATTGGGATGCTGGGCATTTGAAGTCCTACTTTTCTGCTCCGACTGGGATAATGAAGACGGTGTTAAAATAGGATTGGGAAATGAAATGAAATGGGGTTTAACGTCCTACTGTTTTGCTCCGAACTGGGCTAATGAAGACGGGCATACGCCATACAGTGTGCTACTACGGCCTACTCTTATATCGAATTCCAACTGTCAAGTGATCTTTTACGTGCACGCCAATGTGTACACGGGACCTCGGTTTTTCGTCCCATCCGAATGACTAGACAGCTGTCCTTGTCAGGCCCTCCGTCCTGCATCACTGACAAGGGGAAACCACGCCGGAAAATCTGGATGAACTTTCTCGGCCAATGCAGGGATCGAACACCCGACCTCCAGGCTAGCGAGCCAGCGCCTTACCCACTTAGCCACCGCGATCCCCAATATAGGATTGGGATGTTGGGGTTTAACGTCCTACTTTTCTGCACAAAGTGGGGCGTTAACACCCGTTTCATTTTGGTAGTGTAAATATCAGTATGGTGAAATAAAATGTAAACACGCATTAATGCCTTGATTTACAAATGCCTTTTTTTATTTGAATTCAGTAATATGTTGAATGCAACAATGATTGGGTGTAACATTTAAATATAATATTTGGTATAACTATTGAACAAAACGCCCACGCATCGTCCATTGATGATGACATAAATTTAACTCGGGATTTTATTATTCAATGGTCGGTCTTGCTAATTGTTTATATTGAGAGTGATGTCCCCTGTCGAACTCTTCAACAACTAAGATAGCTATAGTATAATGATGAGAGCACGTTAAAAGTGTCACAGTGTCAATATATAAATATTTAATACACGGCACATGTGAACCGCTTAATAATCTAAGATAAATACAATGACTAATGCCTCTATCTCAATCATGATTCAATTATTAAGAATGTGTGGAGGTTGAGGGCAGGAGATTAAAAATAAACAGGACACAATATTTTACAAATAGGTGGATTATGTAATTTAGATAAAGGTGGATCTTGGTTTCTATTGGAACTAGACAGTTATTCGTGGGTCTATTTATAGTCTTTCTCTACTCTGCCCACCCCACCCCCACCTTTACACCTTATTATGGCGGTTCTCGTTAACCATTTGGTGACCCTTTTGGTGAATACAGGCCAGAGTAAACCAATAAATTCCTACTTTTGGTTTCCCACAAATGTAGTCCCATCTATTTATAGTATCCCCAATAGGACCCAATATATCATGAATAGGTAGATTATGTAATTTATATTCATGTGGCGCATGGTTTCTATTGCAACTAGGCGGTTATTAACGAATATAGTTCCTTGTATTTATAGTCTGTCCTCTTTAACTTTTATATTCTGTGTTTTACCATGGTTGTTTTAGATTTGTTTTTCTTTTATACTTCTCCTATTTTTTATCTCTCTCCCTCTCTCTCTCTCTCTCTCTCTCTCTCTCACACACACACACACACACACACCCACCCACACACACACACACACGTCCCACCTTTCTGCAACCGACTGGGCTAATTAAGACGGGACACCAACACGTAGGCCTACAACTCACCTCATATATAAATAAAACAACCCAGTTAATATCACCACTACACACTGAATCCCCTACACAACAAACAATAAGGTATACAATATAAACACAACATACTGCGGTTTTAAAAGTACATTTATCTTTCACGCTCCGTGAACATTTTAAAGTAGAAATGTAATAGTGTGAAATAGCATATCCCGTGTTTTATTAACAAACAAAAACTGGGGAATAATAAAATAATTAGCCTAATTTACAAGTATCAGCGTGTCCAGGTAATAAATCCACTCTTCTGATATTACTTAATTACCATAATTATTTAAATTATAAAAAATTATAAAAAATATGACATAAAGATTTTGAGATATCGAAATATAGATTGGTTCAGATAACGTCAACCATTGACACAGTTAGATCGTGAATTAACCTCATTTGCATAATCATTTAAAAATTTATAATGTATTTGAAAAAATCTAAAGGTAATAAAGCCCAACGTTCTGAAATAAATTTAGTATCATAATTATTTAAAATATAAAAATAAAAGAACATAAAAAATTTAACAAGAGAATTTAGAGACATCGATTAATTCCGATAACATTAAATTAAAGCCACAGAGCGTGAAATAACCTAATTAAGATGATTATTTGACTAACGAATAACAAAATGTTACAAAAAAAACTAAATAAATGGATTAGGATGCCCAACATGTTACCGAAAAGTTGACCAGTTTATTCACGGTGAAAATTTATGTTGACGAAATGTTTGTCAATATGTTGCCCAGAAGTTGATAATGTGCACGCTGCGTTCAATCGGATTAAAACATAAAAAACGGGTCCTATTTCGTTTCTTTTGTTATAGTTCAAAATTTCGTTTTACTCATCTTCACGTCTACGCCGATTGATTAATCAATGACTGACGTCATAGGGTCAAAAGCCGCTAGTATGACCCCTGACGCGGCCTCCCAGTACAACTGGTCAGATCTTCATGTAGTGTAGGCCATCGAAAGTATAAATAAAACGAAACGAAATATAGATCTGTACTTCAATCTCTTGTTTATCAGTGTTCTACTTTCATATTTTGACCCCCAATTTAATTTGTTGACCCTTCGATTATTTCAGTGGGTCCACATCCCGGATTATTATTTCATCCATACAGAAAACCCAAAAGAAACAGGACAGCGTTTTCCCCATCTCAACTTTTACAATTAGAACAAGCTTTTGAGAAGAACCATTACGTCGTCGGACAAGAGAGAAAGGGTCTGGCCAGTAAATTGCAACTCAGCGAAACACAGGTATGTATTTTGTTATTTTCGAAAATTCAATCCATGCAGATGCGTTTCGGTCTTTTCTGTGTCGAATTCCAACTGTCGGTGGTTCTTTTACGTGAAGCCAATGTGTACACTGAACGTCGCTGTTGCGTCCTAAGTATTTTGGAGCTACACGACATAATATTCGTATTGTGCCTGTGCCTATTTTATCTAGATGATCTGATTACGTCACGTCCTGTTAACATTCTAATTTTTTTTCTGTATGCATGTTGATTGTCTCTTACAACGAAAAAAAACCAAGACCCCCCCCCCCCCGAAAAAAAACCCCGACGATATCAGAGTCAGCAAGTTCCTGCAAATGACGTAATGTAGTAAATATCACGTAATGTAGTAACCCTCAAAGTCATCACGAGGTATTGTATGACGTAGTGTCTGTGAGCTATTTAACAACAACAAGTGGTGGGTCTGCGATATCGCCGTAGGTGGAAGCGAACGCCAAGCCCTGCAAGAAGTTGTTGTTGTTGTTGTTTATTACAGATTTAACGTCCAATACAATGAATATGATATTATGGACAGGTTGATTTAATTAAATTATTTACACTTGAAAATTGTTAAAAAAATGATGGCTGTTTTAAAACAGTTTACCAGTCAGATAGTAGCGTAATTACCGTTCAGATTCACAGTAAACGATATCTTTAATTCTGTATCAAACACCTTAATAGCAACCATGTAATTGGTCATTAGATTGGTCTTTAAAAATACCACGCGTTTTCATCTTTTGTTTAAAAAATCCAGATGCCCAATAAAATTATCTAAATGAATTTTATTTTTGTTCATTACTAATCGCTATTTTTATTGGTTAATCACCTTAGATAATCAGGCAATTTAACCAGAGTTTTTTTCTGTGTTAACTTTCATTTTATTGTTCGAGTTATCTTAGACTCAAACGGGCCTGATTTGTCAATCGGGACATATCGTGACATTAATGGTTTCAAATTACACCGATTATTACAAAGCAGCCATTAATCAACGGCTAACTTCAACTATCCGCCCAGTAATTTGTTCCTTCTATTCATATGCAAGTTAAATTCGCTACCGCATCCAGAGAAACGAAACGAAATATGAAGCGATTAAAGCAATACTAACAGAGTAATGAGATCAGATTTCAAATCATATTGATTAGTGTTAACGGTAACACAAATCACACTCACAAACACAAAGACGCTCAGCTATTGGAACCATCAATCTTAATGGGCTACAGATTGGCCAAATATTCTTAATTTACTCTAAAGACGTTTTGGTTTCGAGAGTAAATTTAGCGCCGGAGGTTGTTGTTGACATAGAAAGACATTTTTAGTCGTGATTAAACAATTTGGGCTGGAGAGTTTTTCAAGTGCTTTAATCTCGAGGTTTTATCGTGTTCGTTATACAGACTTAATGACACTTATTATTGTCCAATGATATGACGAGATTGAATTTAGCCCAGAGACATTGTAACCGTGGTTAAAGGTTAAGATGGCAACCCGCGTGTTTCTGTACGACGAAGCGCGAACGGTTCAGAATGTGATTAGTAGTTGTTTGAACGATAACAAGCGTGTAGACGGACTGTCCACGGGGACGTACCGCAGGCTATTTAAACCCTGACCACATGCAATTTATCCCGTCTCTGCGGCTTTGTAATGATAACGTAATCATAACATAAAATTGATATCATTAAATGAGACGAGTGAGTGAAAAGAATGCGAGAATCGTGCTAAACGAAGCGATAGATTTCAGCATGGGGGTAAACGTCGATTGGACATTGATAGTTTCAGATCATCTGTATGCGTGAAGAAGGGCTATTAGTCTCCCTAAAACTCGATTAACACCAGCCATTATCGATGTTAGTTGACTCCTCGTTGATTCTCGCGTTGAAAGACGAGAAGTGTTTAGGGAATTGAGCGCAATGGTGTAATTGCTACTAATTTCTAATGTAATTTTTATCAGATTTGTGTTCTTTGTTCGACGTGACTGACAATATCACATTTTCACACACAAATCTACTAACATCGTATTTTACATGAAATGGGGTTTAGCGTCCTAGTTTTCTACACCAACCGGAGTGATGAACACGAGCATACGTTGTTGTTTATTACAAATTTAACCGCCAATACATAATACATGAAATTATGGACATGCGCCATCCAGTATGCTATTAGGGATGTTTTGTCCGTACACCGGTGCCACTACTTCCCTTTTCAGATTTCCATCGGAGAAGAACAGTAGGACGTTAAACCCTACTTCAATTCATTTCTGATTTCCATCTGCAAAGGAATCTTTAAAGTGCTGCTTATGGTGTGAACGAGTCTTCTGTTTCTTGTTCCAAATTAATCAGAGAGTTACCGTCCACTCAAACACAAACTAGGTCATTTCGCGACTAAAATGTGGTAGAATTTTATTATTTTATTTTAATAATTAGCTTACGGGCTTGTGTCGTTAGCAGTCAGAGGTAATATTAAAAAGGGAAAAGTTCCATGAAGTAAAGAGAGAGAGAGAGAGAAATGTTTAACGTCCACTCTTTTAGCAGTGGGAGGAAACCGGAGGACCCAGAGAAAACCCACGAAGCTGGACAGGCGACCCTAATCATTCTCACGTACAAGCGGGGGATCGAAGCCGATCCACTTGACTCAATGACACACCTTATGATCAAAGCGTTAACCATTCGACCACCACCGCCCCCGTGAAGTAAATATGATTACATCGGTCCATCCCCGATACAACTTTTTATACTATTGTTATGTGTTTTTTACAGTCTTCATTGACCATATTGGTTCATGGAAGTAAGGCGTTAAATCCAAATTCATTTCATTGTTCATTTTGCAAAATGATGACATTTTTCGTATATTTATTTTTTAGGTCAAAGTTTGGTTCCAGAACAGGAGAACAAAACACAAGCGAATGAAGGCCGAGGAAGAAACCGATTCCACGTCACAAAAAGGAAATGACAGTCTGACATCATGTCACGAGGACGGAAGGGAAATTGATGAAAGTGACGGAAGTGACGTTGATATGGATGACAGCCATATTGAATCAGACGAGGAGGAACTATCTGTTACGTGTGAATCGTAGTGAAGTCATTTGAATAATGGCGGTGTGTGAATCAATATAAAAACGAGATTGTCGATTCAAGAGGAGCTAACTCTAATACACTACACAAAGGGACACAACTTTATATCCCTTTGGAATAAAACCACGCATTTTTGTCTCCTCCCGGAATCGACTAAATCTCCAATAAGAAGCTGCTCCGTCCACGTGCTAGAATTATCAAGTGCTAAAGAAGACAGAGGAGAGTGTCAAAAGTGCTTCAATTAACAATGGTGTGCGATCCATTTATTTTTTAAGTTATTCTTTTTCCAGTTTACTTTGAACACTTAACGACTGACGAAGAATAAGACGCGTAGCGAGACAGGGGAGGACAGAGGGGATTGAACGCTTCCCACCCTCTGAAGGACATGCCTCCTACCAAAATCATAAAAAAAAACAGATTACGAAATTATGCGTACGCTACAGAACTGTATGGATATACAGATGTCACACGATATATTTGAAGGCAGTCTTCGAACAAATAAATGCTAATTGTGGTTAATACAGCGACTTTATGGTCCAGTATGAATGCTCGAGTTCGAATTCATCTCTCAATTGTTTGTATGGATGTTGTTGAGTGTAGATATTAATGGTTATTATGAAAATATTTGTTTATTTCATAAATAATGTTGAGTTAAAGCAAGAACCGTTTAGATAAATTATTTATGAAAATAATTCGGATTTTGCTTTCATAGAAAATATTTAAAGATGCATTATGTAAGAGCTAAATTTAGTATGAATTAGACATTTATTAACATGACAAGACCATAATCATCTCACTAGACCATCGAATGCTCACGATTTTCAATGGATTGAAACAAGATCATTATTTAATAATTTAATTTAAAAACTGGATAATCGAGACTATGTTTACTATCGTAACAACGGTAGCAATGACAATCGAGACTCTGATATTCTTCAAACATCATAACTTCGCTCAGGATGAAGTAATTTGACTGAAATTTTCAATTTTTTCATTTTTCATTATCTATTTTTAAAATATTATGGCGAGAACTGTCAGCACTTTATCTAAATCTTACATAATGCATCTTCAGATTCTTATAAAATTTACAGCAAATGTAAATAAAAAAAATAATAATCGTAATTTATACCTTGTTTTACGGCGCTTTTGTTATCATTTGCTAAAAGGTGTGATGTTTTTGATCTGTTTTGGGGTATTTTAAATTTTGCATCAGAATTGTTTTTGGCTTTAGATTAAATGTTTATTTGAAATTTTGGTTATTCTAAGTGTAAACGGACACGAAACAAGAGTAAAATGTAGCCAAATTATGTTTTATTCATTATCGATTTTCTATAAAGGATGAGCATGTCCTTTTCGTGGGAGAGCTTTATAAACGTAAATTTTATTATGAAAGTAAAACTTCAATACATCATATGACGTCAGATACCTTGTGACGTCATAATTTCTTTTTGGTAAAATTAAATATTAAAATTTCATGAAATTTATAGATGCTAGAAATAAATAACAATATCAAAATAATAGGGAATACAAAGGGTATATATTTTAAAACTTGGTTGCCTCCATTGTAAAAAATTAAAGCACAAATCAACTAAAATATAACTTGCGGAGGTGGGGGGGGGGGGTCATATTTAAGAATACTTAACTCAAATATATTTTTAGATTATAGTCTTCTCATTGGTAAAGAGCTAAAATTTGTGTTTAGCCAATGAACAACCATTATTCAAAAAAATATTTTAGTTTAAGTTGTCATGAATAGGAATTCCGTTTTAAATCATGTCGTCACAAGGTATAATTGACGTCACATTTCTATATTTAGTAACCCGTTTATTTCCTTATATAGTCATGTATATATATATATATATATATATATATTATAACTAGTTTGTAAATATACATTGAAATTGTATAAAGTTAAAACTAAATATTGTTATCAGAATTTTGTTACTTTCATTTTTATTATCTACTTTTATCTTATGGGTTATTTCATAAAACATAACATTTCATATCGTTTGAATGCACAAATAAAACTTTCATTGTTAAACAACCTGTAGCAGTAATACAAATTGTATTCTCACCGGAAACAAAAAAATAATTTCAGAGTTTCAAGTAAATTTTGCCAGATAAAGAAAAGAAAATATCACGCCTTAACTCACTAAGCTCGCTCGATCACAAGTTGGATTTTCCAAATTTTATACTAAAATGTCTGTGCATAGAGAAAAAACAGGTTCTTTCCTGCTCATCGAAAAATCATAAGGCTCGGACAATACTTGTTTCCTTGACAATATTGTGCATGGATTGGCGGACATTTCCAAGATGGCACCGATGACGTCACGAATTGTCGGGTTTGTCTATAGTGGTAAATATAACGTTTTATAATTTAAATCAACTTTCACTTTTGACTGAAATGCTATAATAAATTCCTACTGTTATTTTAGTTAAGGCATCGTTATTTCATAGATGGTACCGATGACGTCACGAATATTCGTGCGATCGTCCTCGTTTTAGGCTTATCATTTAAATGAACTTTCACTTTTTACCTAAATGTTATAATAAATTCCTATTGTTATTCAGTTAAGGCATCGTTATTTTTTTTTTAATGAAACTCCGAAAAATTATAAATTTGAATTTGTGAATATTATTCAAAATTTCAATTTTCTAAGACTATCGTAATCATTCATGGAATTAATTGTACCAATGTTGTACAATTAATGCCGACATTAAAAGACATATTTAATTTATATTGTAAAAAATAAAATTGTAATCGATACCCGATTCAATTTGTCTTACCCTTACACGACGAGAAAATGTATTTAATGAATAAATAAAGTTTGAAATATTGAACTGTAGTATTTATTGATGCTGGGCTTATACCCACGCCACCACCTCAGTTTGACACTAGGTCTGGGGTATTACCCGAGAACGTGATAATATCAGAAACTATCGAGACACTATTTCTGCTCATGGATGGGGGGGGGGGCAGCACTCAGTTTGACACGAGGTGTGGGGTATTACACGAGAACGTGATGATATCAGAAACTATCGAGACAATAGTTCTGCTCATTTAGGTGCAATAATGTATTGGATTATAGTGGATTAAGGCCAAAACAGCGACAATGCTTTGCACGTTTGTTATAATTTGGTGTTATTCCAATGAATGTAGCAGAAACATGATATGCTTTGCAGGAGCAGCGGGGGGTCCCGATCCTCTGAAACTACCAACTGGCAAACGAAACTTCACAAATATACCCCCTTCCCCCTCAAGCCACCTACTCCCTCAACAGCCACCTACTACCTCAACAACCACCTACTCCCGCCAACAACCACCTACTACCTCAACACCCACCTACTCCCTCCAACAACCACCTACGCCTCCAAGCACCTACTCCCCCAGCAACCACCCATTATCTCAACAACCACCTACTCCCTCCAACAACCACCTACTACCTCATCAACCATCTACTCCCCCAACAACCACCTACTCCCTCCACAACCACCCACTACCTCAACAACCACCTACTCCCTCCAACAACTGCACCCACTCCCTCAACAACCACCCACTACTTCAACAACTACCTGCTCCCTCCAACCACCTAGTTCCCCCAACAACCCCCCACCCCCTCCAATAACCACTCACTACCTCAACAACCACTTACTACCCCCATCAACCGCCTACCACCTCAACAACCAGTCACTCGCCGCAATTGGCAAACGAAACCACGCAATCATGCTTTATTTAAGGGATGCTTAAGAGGTTTCGTTTCTTAATGCTAGGTTGAGGAGATATTTAAGAGGGGTTATCAGTGAAGGTTTATAATAAGCGGATTCGTCTCTGAATGCTATGTATAGAGTAAAGGAAACCAGGAAAGCATCCCTGCCTGAATGAATAGTTAAACGTGTATTATGCAAGAGCTAAATCTGCCTATTGCAGGTCTTTCTTTAGGCCTGAAATGTTTTCTAAAGTATTAATTAGACATTAATTAACTGATCCAGGCCTTAATCAACTCTCGATGGCATCAGATTTCTCCGATATTAAATAGATTAGAATGGTTCAGCTATACTTTGATTTAATCAGATATGTAGGACCGAGAATTAGCTTCGATCAACCAGTACCGTGGTTGAAATTATTGCACACGTCTGTCAAACCTTCAAAGGCTAATATCTTCTCTTGCAATAGAGTAATTTGAATGAAATTTTCAAATTATTCAGTTTACATCATCTACTTTCGAACTATTAAAGCAAGGATGGCTAGTTCTTTATCTAAATCTTACATAATGTATCTTTAAGCAGACTGCTTTTTTATTTATTGCTTAAAAAGGTGGGCAAGACGATTTCCTCTGTTTTCTTGCTGCGAAAATCTCAAATGTATTTCTTATTCATAATTTCTAAAAGTTTATAGATATTTTTAAACTTTAATTATTTATAATATATGTGTAATCCTTCCTTCCTTCTTAGTGTTTAACGTCCGCTTCTACAGAAGGTGATATCACAGACAAGTCTTTTTTTTAAATTTTCATTATCTTAGCGCACGCGCAGTGGTCTTTCTTGTAGAAGGAAACCGGAGTACCCGGAGTAAACCCACGAGGTATATGTGTAATCTGACACAGTCGTTTATATAATACAATGCAGGAGAAAGTCCTGGGTGTGATTCCGGTTTTGGCCGAGAAAGATCTAGCGTGATCTCCCCTTGTCAGGGGTACTTAATATAGAGAAAATAACATCATCTAATCAGACAACAAGCTATACCAATATTTTCGTAATTTGATTGGATAATATTAGATTGATTTTAGTGCTTAGCCAATCAAAATTGAAGTATCTACTAAAATTTGGATTTTATCTTTAGTTAAGATTTCGTGAAACAGGCCCCTATAAAGTTAAAAATATACAAGCCTACATAGTATCTAGCTACTTAAATATTGTTAAAATCTAATTTCTTGAAATACCGATATTGTACTAATGTATGGACATAATATACACATAATACGTATCAAACTACTTAAATATTGTTAAAATTAACTGTACTGTACAGACCTAAATAATATGTATCTAGCTACATAAACATTGTTAAAATCTAATTTTCCAAATACTGGTACATGTACTGTACTATAAACATATACAGGCCTAAATAATATGTATCTAGCTACTTAAACATTTTTGCTCGATACCCATTCAACAAACTGATTCAGAACATTGTTCAGATCTAATGTCCGGAGCACAGACGATTCTACCTGCAACAAAACAAAAGTTGCATTGGGCTTGATGGGGCCCCAGGCATCATCCCTGTCAGCCTTCAGGATAATACGGCACTGCACCCAACTGGGGTAATATATATTTATATTTTTATTTCTAGGCGCAAACTAAGCTACGTAGGAAATTTATATTGTTATTCGCCAATTCATTAGATCAAATAAAAAATATATTGTCAGTCACCAATTCGTTAGATCTAAGACAAAATATATTGTTACATGTCATTTCATTAGAACTAAGACAAAATATATTGTTAGATGTAAATTCATTAGAACTAAGACAAAATATATTGTTAGGTGTCAATTCATTAGATACAAGACAAAATATATTGTTAGATAACAATTAATTAGATATATTACAAAATATATTGTTAGATGACAATTCATTAGAACTAAGACAAAATATATGGTTAGACGCCAATTTATTAGATATAAGACAAATTATATTGTTATATAGATGTCAATTTATTAGATATAAGACAAAACATATTGTTACATGTCAATTCATTAGAACTAAGGCAAAATATAAATATTGTTACTCATCAAATTATAAGATCAAAGAAATAATATATTGTTACTCATCAATTCATTATTCAAGATTTGACTTATTTCCTCATATCTGGGTGCAAACATTGGACCCCCCCCCCCTACTCACTCTCCCACACTCGTCCACACTATCCCCTCCCTTTGAGGAATTTGTAAATATGTCAATAGACCTAAAGGAAAACTACAAAAACGAGCATGCGAGTACGCAAAAAAAATGTTTTATTAATATGGAACACAATTACTATGTTAATTTAAGCAAACGTTTCGTCAAGGATTCTCTCAACATTATCAAGCAAATTACGTTGAGAGAACCCTTGATGAAACGTGTGCTTAAATGGAAATGGTAATTGTGTTTCAAACGTCGCATTAATTAAAATAGTAATCGTCTTCCATATTATTACGTGTGTCAATTGCTAAATGCCGCTCGGTCAAAAACTTTTTTATTAATAATAATATTTAGCCAGCCAGTCATTTCAGTAAGTATTTTCACTTTTGTTCATTACGTGTGTCGATTGCTAAATATCGCTCAGTCCAAAAATTTTTTTATTAATAATAATATTTAGCCAGCCAGTCATTTCAGTAAGTATTTTCACTTTTGTTCATTACGTGTGTCAATTGCTAAATATCGCTCAGTCAAAAAATTTTTTTATTAATAATAATATTTAGCCAGCCAGCCATTTCAGTAAGTATTTTCACGGAATTGCATAGAAAATGAAGGA